CCCGTGGTTGCACAGCACCACAAGGACCGAGCAGTCAGTCCCTGACCACGACTGTTGTGGCAGCAGCGGTGCTGACATTGGGACAGCGGTGTCAGGACAGTGGTGGCAGCAAGAGCTGCAGGACTGGCAGTGGGCAAGGCACCATGGCCTTTGCTCTGCGCCTCTTCCTCCTGCTCCTCCTGGCAGTGGCCCTGCCTGACAGGGCTGCCCAGGCTGCTCCATGGCGAGCACAGGGAGCAGGTGAGCCCAGGGCCTGGCTTCCCTTTCCTGAGACAGTGCTCCCTTCTCCCTGGGAAGCATTGGGGATGGTTTTCCCCCAGGGCTTAAGGGAGGGTTTCCTCTGTGCGTGGGAGAGAGTCCCCAGAGCCCCTGGGCTGGTCCCGCTGCCCCACCAGGGATGTTGCACAGGGCCTGCAAAGAAGATGGAGAGTCTCCAGAGCCAGCCCAGAGCTCCTCAGGCCCCTCTGCAGCTTTGGCCATGTCCACTGACATCTGGCTGCCACGGCCTTTCCCAACCCCATTGCAGTGCCCAGTTTCCTAAGGCAGAAGGGGGTCCCAGCACACCATGGAATGGTTCTGATCTGTGCTCCCTTCTAGATGAGGGTGGTAGGAAGGCTTCTCCAGCAGCTTGGCTTCATGAAGATTTTCTGCCTCTGGAGCCCCATGCAGGTAAGTTCTCACTGTCCCAACAAGAAATAATCATTGACAACCTGTCACGAACCAGGTGACAGAAGCTTCTGTGGCTGTTGAGTTACAGGTGTGTCTGCAGCAAGGACATTTCAAGCTCCTTTTCTGGTTGCTGCACGCAAGCCCAGCTCCCATCACGGGGGTGAGTGGTGTGTCCTTGCTGATCCCACAGGCTGAGCCCTGGTTCTGTGGGATCCATTCATCTGAAATGGAAATACTTTCTGTTAAGGTTCTCTGAGAGGGAGGAATAAACCCACAGAAGACAAGATGCTGAGTGAACTGGATAGACGCTATGGTGGGTCCATGTCCTTCAGCCTTCTCCTGAGACTCAGCAGCCAGGGGCTTTCTCTGCACATCTGGACATGCCGTGCCTGGCACAGTGGGAAGGGATCCATGGCAGCCTTGCTGCCCCACTGCTGCTTTCTTGGCCTGCAGGGCTGTTTCCCAGCCTGGCCTGGCTACAGCTTCTCCCCAGCCTCTGCAGGAAGGCATTTGGCATCAGCTGACAGGGAGCCCAAACTGCAGCACAGGCCATGCACAGCCAGAGATCCCTTGCAATTTCCCAGTCTTGGGGTAGATGTGGAATGGCGGCTCTTTGGAGGAGGGAAGGCTCTGGCCTGGCTCCGAAGTTTTGATGGCTTCCTGAACCTTATTCATGACTTGGACAAGTATTGCCTTTTGAAGATGCCACCTTCCTGTTGGGGAACAGCCCCACCTGATCCAGCTGTGGCTCTTCTTTTCTCCAGAGATGAACCCAAAGGCTGTGCTGAAGGCAGCGTTTCCCGGAGGAAGCAGTGGCTCATGGGCAGCCTCTGCTGCAGGAAGGGAGGCCATGCCAGGCACAGTCCCAGGAGGTAATTGCTGTGCCTCTGGGCCTGAGCCCTGCTGAGGCTTGAGCTGCCATCTCTGTTGCTTGGCTTTGTGAGCACAGTGCAGAGGAATTATCCTGAGCAGGCTCAGGGCACTCGGCTACTGAGCAGTTCTGCTGAAGTCCCTCCATGGGAGACACATCCCAAAACCTGGCAGCGGCTGCAAGGAATGCCCATGGTGGGGAAAGGGCTGAGGGGAGGGTAAAGCTCCAGTGTGCCCTGAGAGGGCCTGGCTCTGTCCCCTTGGGCTGGGGGAGCTGTCCCAGCTGAAGGACGGAGGGCAGGAGAGAGGGCAGGACGGAGGTAGGGATGTCTGTGGCACTGAATGCTGCAGTTTGGCCCAGGGCTTAATGGTTTCCTCTGTGGCAGGGAGAGCCCCTGGGCCCTGGGCTGGTTCCGCTGCCCCACCAGGGATATTGCACAGGGCCTGCAAAGAAGGTGGAGAGTGTCCAGAGCCAGCCCAGAGCTCCCCAGGCCCCTCTGCAGCTTTGGCCATGTCCACTGACATCTGGCTCCCTTGGCCATCCCCCGACCCCCTTGCAGTGCCCAGTTTCCTAATGCAGAAGGGGGTCCCAGCACACCATGGAATGGTTCTGATCTGTGCTCCTTTCTAGACAAGGGTGGTAGGAAGGCTCCTCCAGCAGCTTGGCTGCATGAAGATTTTAAGCCTCTGGAGCCCCATGCAGGTATGTTCTCACTGTCCCAACAAGAAATAATCATTGACAACCTGTCACAAACCAGGTGACAGAAGCTTCTGTGGCTGTTGAGTTACAGGTGTGTCTGCATCAAGGACATTTCAAGCTCCTTTTCTGGTTGCTGCACGCAAGCCCAGCTCCCATCACAGGGGTGAGTGGTGTGTCCCTGCTGATCCCACAGGCTGAGCCCTGGTTCTGTGGGATCCATTCATCTGAAATGGAAATACTTTCTGTTAAGGTTCTCCGAGAGGGAGGAACAAACCTACAGAGGATAGTAAGTCGCTGGAGACATCCAAACACATGGATAAGATGTTGAGTGAACTGGAGAGACGCCATAGTGAGTCCATGTCCCTCAGCCTTCTCCTGTGACTCAGCAGCCGGGGGCTTTCTCTGCACATCTGGACATGCTATGGCTGGCACAGCAGGAAGGCATCCATGTCAGCCTCGCTGTCCCACTGCTGCTTTCACGGCCTACAGGGCTGTTTCCCAGCCTGGCCTGGCTGCAGCTTCTCCCCAGTCCCTGCAGGAAGGCATTTGGCATCAGCTGACAGGGGGCCCAAACTGCAGCACAGGCCATGCACAGCCAGAGATCCCTTGCAATTTCCTGGTCTTGGGCTAGATCAGGTGTAGGGGCTGTTTGGAGGAGGGAGGGCCCTGGCCAGCCCAAATAACCTGGCCTTTCTCCTGATCCTTAACCATGACTTTAACAAATATTGCCACTTGAACATGCCACCTCCTCAATGGGGAATGGTTCTATCTGATCCAGCTGTGGCTCTTCCTTCCTCCAGAGATGAACCCAAAGGCTGTGCTGAAGGTGCCATTTCCCGGAGGAAGCAGTGGCTCATGGGCAGCCTCTGCTGCAGGAAGGGAGGCCATGCCAGGCACAGTCCCAGGAGGTAATTGCTGTGCCTCTGGGCCTGAGCCCTGCTGAGGCTTGAGCTGTAAATCTCTGCTCCTTGGCAGTGCCTGCCTTTCAGGGATTTTGCACAGAGCATGGAAAAGGTGTTGAGAATGTCCAGAGCCAGTCCAGAGCTTTCCTCAGGCCCCTCTGCAGCTTTGGCCATGTCCATTGACATCTGGCTCCCACGGCCTTACGTGACCTCCTTGCAGTGCCCAGTTCCCTAAGGCAGAAGGGGATCCCAGCACACCATGGAATGGTTCTGATCTGTGCTCCCTTCTAGATTGGGATGGTGACATGGAGCATTTGGAAGTGCTGGTAAATGGCGGTTTGAAGACCTTGCCAGATGCTGGAGGCAAGTTCTCAATGTCCCTTTCCGCACAGAACAATCCGTGTCAAGGTGGCAAAAGCTCACTCATGTGCCATTTCCCTCAAGAGTCTGAAGGTTGACGGATTCTGGAAACCTTGCCCTGCTCCCTTCTGGAGCCCTGAGTGATCCCACAGCATTGCTGTCAGTGGGAGGAAGGAGCATTTAGCTGTCAATCCTCTTCCTGTGTGTAATGCCAGTGTCTCCTTCCGTGTGCTCTGTACAGCCACGGAGAAGAGCAGAGAGGGAAGGGCTGGGCTCAGGGCTGTGCCCTGGGGCTCTGCCTTGTGTGGCTCCTTTCTGGCCCCAGGGAACCTGAGATGCTCCTGCTCCAGCTGCCAAGCCCTGGCCCTGCTTGAGGCTCAGTTCAGAGCTGCTGGCAGCTCCAGGGAGTCCTTTCTCCCCTGACTGCCGTGCAAGGGGCTCCTTCCATCCCACTGTGGGCCCACTGCAGGCACGTGGTCCCCCTGCCCTTGCTACTGAGTTGAAGGCAGAGATGAGGAAGTGCCTTGGAGGGCAGCAGTCACCTGGGTGTACTCACTGCCACTCCAGCCTGAAGAAGAATCTTCAGCAGTGTCACGGGAGTTGTTCTGTCCTGACTTTCTTTGCAGATGAACCTGATGATGAAGATGATCCGGATTCCCAATCCATATCAGTTACTGAGCCTGATGATGAGGAAGATTATGAGGGTAGGTCAAGGCCTTTCCCCCTGGGAGAGCCGCCAGCTCAGAGCCCAAGGGTCGGCCACGGTGGCATCTCTGCAGGTGCCAGGACAGAGCCGTGCATGGTTGTGCCCTCACCCTGCGTGATCCTCTCACTGCTCCTGTGGCTCAGTGCTGCCTGTGCAGATCAGCAGACATGACTGAAGCTTCTGTGGCTGTTGAGTTATAGGTGTGTCTGCAGGGAGGACTTTCCCAGCTCCTGAGCTAAATTCTGCCAGCAAGCCCAGCTCCCATCGCTGGGGTGTGTGGTGCCTCCCTGCTGATCCCACAGGCTGACCACTGGTTCTGTGGGATCCATTCCTGGGAAATGCAAATACTTTATATAATGGTCCCCTGAGAAAGAAGGACAAACCTATAGGAGATAGTAATGTAGCAATGGGGGAACTCAAATACCTGGACATAGTCCTGAATGATCTGGAGGGACGCCATGGTGGGTCCATGTCCCTCAGCCTCCTCCTGACACTCAGCAGCCAGGGGCTTTCTCTGCACATCTGGACACGCCGTGCCCGGTACAGCAGGAAGGGATCCATGGCAGCCTTGCTGCCCCACTGCTGCTTTCATGGCCTACAGGGCTGTTTCCCAGCCTGGCCTGGCTGCAGCTTCTCCCCAGCCTCTGCAGGAAAGCATTTGGCATCAGGTGACAGGGAACCCAAACTGCACCATGGGGCACGCACACCTTGAGATCCCCTGAAAATTTCCAGTCTCAGGCTAGTTCAGGTTTAGGGTCTGTTTGGAAGAGGGGTGGCCCTGGAGCATTTCCAAAACCGTGGGCATTTTCCTGATCCTTATCCATGTCTTTGACAAGTATTGCCTGGAGAAGACCAGCACAGCACAGAGAAATTGTGCCATTCGAGCTCAGGGGGTTGAGCAGTCTTGTGCCAAGGGGTGGCAAGGTGCCTGCAGGCCCCAGCTCTGGGGGAAACAGAGAACGTCCTGGCTGTATCCAGCGTGCTGCCAGCTCAGCAGTGGAGCACAGCAAAGGCTCACGCTGCCCATTGCTCCCACAGATGCAGCTGGCACCACAGCACATGCTCAGAAGATCTGGGAGAGCATGAGAAGAGTTTTCTACCAGGGAACAGATGGTTTGATTAAGTTAATGGCCATTGTGGCTGGTGGAGCAGTTTTCCTGATGATGTGCTGTGCCGGAATCTGGTATTGCTGGAAGGGAAAACGGTGAGTGTTTTGCGATCTCAGCCTCAAACAGCTTCTTGAAAGGCTGCTCATAGTCAGGAAACATTCCCAGTGAGGCTGCTGTGCACTTGTGGGTAGGCCTTGGTTGCCCAAATAACTCTGCTGAGAGTTCTGCTGCTGCCCAGGCCTTTCATTGGCCTCTTAATTGCTGGGCCTTGTCCTGGGGAGCCCGCTGGGGCTGCAGCCAGTGCTGGCTCCCACTGAGGCTGCCTGGCCAAGAGCAGCCCCAGGAGCAGCGGGCAGAGGCAAAGCAAGGTGGGCAGGAGAAAGAGCGGGGACGAGATTGCCCTTGAAAGGCAGAGGTGCTCTGGGGCCCGCTCCTGGCCAGGGACCCTGCCCAGAGCCATCCCCTGCTCGCTGGGGCCTTGAGGGGCAGCTGTCCAGCTGGGCCAAGCTGTGCCAGCAGCTCCAGCGGTGCTGGGGAGCCTTGGCCGCTCTGGGCCCTGCTGTTCAGGAGGGTCCCTGAGTGCCAGCAGTAGCTGGGGGCCTCAGCCACCTCCTCTCTCCACAGGAGCACCTCTGCAGCTTCAGAAGAGCAGCCAAAGATTCCAGTGTCTGAGAAGCTGACCTGTTATCCTCGCTCTCCACATCTCTCCCTATCTGCTGTGCTGCAGCTGCAACCCCGTCTTGAGGGCATCCCAAGACCCACACCTCCCAAGCGAGACCCTCTGCCCCTGAGCCCCCTGGCCCTGTTCCCTGGCCAGGACTGAAATTGGGCAGCCCCTGTCCACCAGAGTGTTGCCGCCTGTTAGTTTGCCTTCATTAAGTATGTTTGTTCACCTTCATTGAGTTTAGAGTTTGCCCCAGTTACTCCCCACTATCCCGATATAGTTTGTTCCCAGTTGCCTGTCATTGTAAACCTCTCCCCTCTTTCCAGATTGTTCCCCATCCATCACTTTGGTCCTACCCCCAAGCCCTATCAATCTATGTACACCACACCTTTTGTTCTGGTTCCTTCCCTGCTCATCATCCCTTACTCGATGCCCTATTGGTTGTATAGCTATCCTACCTCCCCCAAGTCCCTACCATTGGATTTGTGTATTGTAACCCCTTCCCACAACACCTCCCCTGCTGCAATATTATTGGTTGTTGTATGAGCCGCCCACGGGCTTTAAAACCTGGCGCACAGAGGTGCCCAGGGGCTCGGCTCGGACTTTCTCCTCGAGATCCCAGCCCTGTCCCTCATCGCCTTCTCCCTGCACCTGCTGGAATAAACTTGTTCCTGGGAAATTGGAGGACTCCGAGCACTCTCTCTCCCTTTACTTCACCTCGTGTCGCCCTGCATACTATAGAGCCCAAGCCCAAAGGAGCTCTAGAGGTTCCAGGTCGAGCCACATAGTGCTCACCTGGTTCCCCACTCCTGCCGCCGACGCTTGGCACAAGCTAGCCGGGGCGTGAAGGGCCGAGCAGGCAGCGACACCAGAGCAGGGGTTGGCCCATGTTTTTTGTTCAAATAAAGAGATGGAGCTGTCACCCCAGTGTCTGGCTGGTACCACCAGCAAAGCCCACATGGCACCAGCCTTGGCTGAGCTCCATGTCCAGGAGCAGGCAGGGCTGACCATGGTGTGGGCAGGCAGGAGCCAGGCAGGGGCTGCCGTGACCAGCGGTGGGGCCCCGAGGCGCTGGGGGAACCCGTGCTGAGCATCCCTGGGCTGTGAGGGCACATTTCCTTCAGTGGCATCACCTGGGCCTGCACCTCATGAGGCACACAGGGAAAATTTGGGCTCTCTCCTAAGGTGTGCAGGGATTCCCCATGAGGAGTGCAGTGGGGTTAAATTGAGAGGGTTTTTTACTCTTCTCAGCACAGCAAAGGGGACAGTCTTGGCCGAGGTTTTGCAGAGCTGGGAGGAAGCCTCTTGTGAGCCCTTGGGCCCGGCCTGTGGGCACAGCGGGCAGGTGGAGCCCATCCCTTGAGGCCAGTCCGGGCTGCTCGGGCCAGGCTGGGCCGGGTGAGCCGGGCCATTCTCTGGGGCACAGGAGGCACCCAGGGCTATAACTGGGGCCGTGGCTTTTCAGCCTGAAGGGAGGCTGGCTCTGTTGGTTCAGAGGGCACAGCTTAGATCCCAGTTACCTTTGTAAACCTGCTGGGGAAGTGTTGAGGGCAGAGAGTTCCAACCCTTCTCACTGGGAAGCTGGGCTGATGCTGTGGGGTTTTGTAATTTTTGCCCTCTAAATTTGTGTCCTGGCAGAGGATTAAGTTTGCTTGCTCTCAGTAAGCCCCTTTTCTTCTTGGTGCTGTTGTAAATGAAATTAAAATCAGACAACTAGATCTATTGAATTAACAGCAATTAAATAACAAGGGAAAAAATTATACAACTTAGTGAATTGAATACAAGGATGCAATATAATAAAATAATACTATTTAGTGGATTGAATAGAAATTTGGTATAAAAGGAAAACAATTCAGTAAAAGAGTACAATTTAGTGAATATCTTCATATATATATATATATATATATGTGAATATAATTTGCTAGTAATTGAGTATGATTAAAGCATGAGCAAAACTGACTGGGGTATGGGCAGGGCTTCTCACCCTGCCTCACGTACCAAAACAAAGCAATTCAAACTAAACTTATATACTGTATGCTTATACATATTCATTAATGTTTCCCCTAAGTCTCCTCCTGTTTTTGATTCTTTAATTTTACATCACTATTCTTCATGGTGCAAGCCTCACTTGTTGCTAGGGGGTCTTCAGTCTCCTTTCGATGGTATTTTGGATGAAGGCTTACGCTCATCCTCATTGTCCTCTGGATAACCTTACAGGTTTTGCATGTGTACTAAGTGTTATGTAAATAAGCATTGTGTTCCACTAATTAGTCTTACACTTCATAATCTTCAGGCCTATGCCTAAAGTTGTTCCAACTTTATCCATCTCAAGGTTGATTTCTTCTTGGGACACCACTTACCTCAAAACTACATCCTGTACCTTAATTTCAACACGTAACATCTGCAAAGGGGTACATCTGCCTTGTATCACCAATTCCCTTGATTGCTTCTAATAATAACTTTCCAAATAGTTACAATTTAGTTAGCACAAATCATTTCCATTTATTACGCTCCCCAAATTCCACTCCCAACATCTCCCCCGCTTCCAGCTCAGGATGGTGCCCTGATGAGACCCCTCCCCAAATCCCACCCCCAAGACACCTCCCCATTGCTGGAAAATCCCCCAAATCTCACTCCAAAATCAGAAATCCTCCCTGAGACCCCTCCCCAAATTCAGGCCTCCCCAAAATGCCCCTCCTCACTGGGATTAGGACTTCTCCCCATCAATGGAAATTCCCCCAAAAGACAAAAAATCCTCCCCAAATCCCCTTCCCAAAATCAGAACTCCACCAGGACCCCTGAATTTCCCCCCAAAACCACCAAATTTCCTCCCCCACCAAATCCCCAATTTTTTTCCCCAAACCCCAAATCCTCTCCCTAAAAACCCAAAAGTTCTCCCCAAAGCCCCAAACTTCCTCCCCAAACACCCAAATGTTAGAAAAAAATCCTTAAATTCTTGCCCTAAAACCCCAAAATTCCCCCCAGGACCTTCAGAGTTTCGCCCCAAAACCCCAAATTTCCCCCCGAACCCCCAAATTTCTCCAATTCCACCCCAAATCCTGGGAGAACTCTCCAAAAAACAGCAAGCCTTCCCAAAACCTCCACCAAAATTGCAACTCTCTACCCAAAAATCACCAAAAATCTGAGAACATAAATTTTTTCACACCTTGGGTGGGGGGAGAAACACCAGAAATCTCAGGATTTTTCCCGTTTATTTGGGGAGGGAGGTCACCCTGTTTCCTGTCCCCCCAGATGACCCCACCCCAAAATTCCTGCCCCTCGGCCCCCCAAATTAAGTGTAAATAAATAAAAAGAGGAAAAAAGAAAAAAAAAAGGGGGGGGGAAGGTAAAAATAAAAAAAAAACACCAGAAAAAAAAAAAAAAATTTTCTCACCTCAATTTGGGGGGAGAGGGATGGAGGAAATATTGGGGGAGGGGGTGAACCTCCAGAAAAAAAATTGAGGGACCCCCCCTGTCCCGGGTTGATTATGATGTTAAATTGTATCCCCATTCGTCCACCTAACCCAGACACAGGTTCTGTATTCTTAAAATTCCATCTGAGAGTAAAAGTGAGTGGAAAAGAAGCACCGAGTCTGTTATCAGACTGTAATTGCTCCCCCCACATCAGGAGTTTTGACTACAGCACAGACAGACAACAAGACACAGATCGCCTTGGCTTTCCAACTAGCCAGAGCAGAGAGGTCTTCCTGGACTGTTTTCTTTCCCTTTTTCTGAAACGAATCGAACCTGCTCTGGACTGGGGACTCGGGGGAGCACCGGGAGCTTGCACTCGTGGACTACCGGGAGCCCAGCCTGGGCAGCGGCATTTTCCAGCACCAGAGGGACTGATAACAGAGCGAACACCCACAGGAAAGAGACCCTCTGAAGTTTGTCATCTCTTCTGAAGGGCGAGAGGTTTTGTAATTTGATATCGTTCATTCTTGTGCTGGATAGTGCTGTGCCTGTGAAATAAACAGGTTTTTTCCACTTCTCTCAGAGAAATCTCTTCCCAAACCGGTTGGGGGGTGGGAGAAAAGGGCCGCATGGGTTTGCTTCCTGGGGGGATCCCCATTGGGGGTTTTCTCCCAAATTTGCCCTAAACCAGGACACAGGCACAGACACGGCAGCACTGGCTCAGGAGCCCCTGTGTGCACTGCCCAGAGCAGGCGTCAGCACCCCCATGGTGCTGCTGTGGGGAGATGAACCTGAGGGAGCACAAATGCCATCAGCCCCTGCGGCCAGGAAGGGCTGGGGGAAGGGAGGGAAACCACTCAGGTTTGTCGTGGCCTCTAAGTCACACAGAAAGTTTGTTCCCATGAGCTGTGAGTTTCCTGTGCCACTGCAGATGTCATTGCTCAGAGCTGGGGCTGCCTGGCAGCCACCCCCAAACTGCCCTGAGCATTTCCTTTGCTTCACCTTTGCTTTCTTTACTCTTCCTGCTCCAGATTTCTTCCTATTTCCCACCCCTGTTCCCTGCCCTGCAAACAGCGCATTCCTGTTTGCCCTTTCCTCTCTGGCCCCACTCCCCATTTCAGTTCCTGAGTTGGCACCATGGGCACATCCTTTGGGGAGCAGGATCATCTTACAAGTGCTTCAGGAATTGCCTGCAGGGTCCTGCAGTGCCTTGTGCTGCTCCGTTGCCAGAGGCAGCACAGGCCAGGGGGGCACATTTGGGCTGCTGTGTCTGGCTGTGGGGCTCCCTGTTCTGGGCAATGAGGAGGAGCTGGAGAGGCTCTGCAGGACTGACAAAATGGGCTTTGGGGCCTGTGTGGAGAAGCTGAGGGACCTGGCATGCTGCACTTCTGAAGAGGAGGCCCAGGGCTCATCCTGCACCTGCTGCAAGGGTAGTTTCAGAGAATCAGAGAATCAGCAAGGTTGGAAAAGACCTTGGAGATCATCAAGTCCAACTTGTGCCCTGACACAGCCTTGTCTCCTTTGAGCCTTCTCTTCTCCAGGATAAACAACCCCAGCTCCCTCAGCCACTCCTCACAGGACTTGCATTCCAGAACCCTCACCAGCCTTGTTGCCCTTCTCTGGACACGCTCCAGCCCCTTCATGGCCTTCCTAAATTGAGGGGCCCAGAACTGGACACAGCACTCGGGGTGCTGCCCAACCAGTACCAAGCACAGGGGAAGAATCCCTGCCCTGGTCCTGCTGGCCACACTGTTCCTGATCCAGGTCAGGAGCCATTGGCCTTCTTGGCCACCTGGGCACACTGCTGGCTCATGCCCAGCCTGCTGTCCATCAGTGCCCCAGGTCCATTTCTTCCTGGCTGCTGTCCAGCCACTCTGTCCCCAGCCTGTAGCACTGCAGGGGTTGTTGTGGCCAAAGTGCAGGACCTGACACTTGGGCTTGTTAAACCTCACCTTGTTGGGTTTGGTCCCTGGATCCAGCCTGTCCAGCCCTCCTACCCTGCAGCACATCAACACTCCCAGACAACTTGGTGTCACCATGGTTCCATGGTGCTCTGGAATGTCACAATGTTGTCCAGGATTCCATGAGGCCTCCCAGGGTCATAATGTCCTTTTGGATCCATGGGACATCTTGTTGTCACAACATCCCTTGGATTCTTGGGCCCTACAGTGTCACAATGGCACCTTGGTCCCCCAATGCCCTGCAGTGTCTCAGTGGATCCTTGCTTCCATGAGGTCTCTCAGTGCAGCAATGCTTTCCTTGGTTCCACA